GAGGAGGGTTCAAACGACACCGGTGTAACTTTTACTAAGTGTTACACCGCTCAATAACTTTATATTAAATGTGAATTTTGTAAATCCAACCGTTAGATGGAAAGTTCATATCTCTTAGATCATATATGTCAAATTTTGTTAAAATTGAACAACAACTTGAAGGTAATCAAAGTGTTCATATTTTAGTATATTTTGAAATGTATATATTACGTCAATTTTGTTTTATGAGAATGAAGTATCAAATCATCTTAGATTAATATAAAATTTGATATATATGATCTAAGAGATATAAACTTTCAATATAACGGTTAGATTTACAAAATTCACATTTAATATAAAGTTATTGAGCGGTGTAACACTTAGTTAAAGTTACACCGGTGTCGTTTGAACCCTCCTCATATTATTATATATATATGTATATTCACTTACTCAAAATAATTTTTGATAAAATTTCTTTATTAAATAATTTATTATCTATGTTAAATTAACAATTCAATTGATAAATTAAGAATTCTTATTAAATAAATTAAGGCAACAAATTCTTACAAAACTTAATAACTATTTAATATTTCGTTAATTATTTGATACTTTGAAAAGTCTTCATGTATTTCAGAACTGTTTCTTTACGAGATATATACCTTAACCATTGTTTAATACTTTTTTCTAACTTCAAAATTATAGATTATTATCAATTTTTCTTGTAATGTTAAAATTTTCCTTCTCTCTCTAAAGTTTAGTAACTTAATTACCAAATTAATTCCTTCCATATTACCATTTAACGTTATAATTTTCTCTTTGCTGCATATCATCGCCAATCAAGCAATCACTGGTAAATGGAATCCACAGCCGTTGCTGATCAATCAGTCATTAAGTTTGGCTCAGATCACATATTAACCAAATCTAAGAATCCTATGATATGGCCAAATACAAGTGTACAAAGCAAAATAAAACTAAAAACAGTACACCCTCGACAAAGTTTGAGGAAAAAAACTAAACAACCAAATAAGAGAAAGACAAGATACCAGGACCAAAACCCTAGTGTTTAATGAGCAGAGTGGCTTGTGGTTGTTTTCTTAAAATCAATCTTGTCAACCTTAACCTCTCCATCAATGAGTTCATATACATAAACCACAACACGCAGACCATCGATGTCCATGAGGACAAAACTTGGGTTCACGTCATAGGTGATGCTGCTGTAGGCACCTGTTGCAGAACCTGGATTTATAACCACACCCCCCTCGTGTTTGTAAGCTGTAAATTGATGGGTGTGACCTGTGACAAGGATGTCTACATCAAGCTGCCTCTGTAGCATTGCCAGTGAGTCTAGGTCTCCCCATGGAATAACCTTCACAATCATTATCACATATCAACGCATAATATAGCACAACCAATAACTGATCCATAAAAATCCAATCATTGGAGGAATATGGTTGAATGGAAAAAGTTGCAGCTGGAACAATAAAATAAAACAGATGAAAATTGCAGCGGTTAAACACCATCAAGCAAGATGAGAAAGAGAATTAAAAAACCTATACAAGCGCAACCTGAAGTAGCAAAATGAAATAAAACATTCAGCTCGGATTAAAGCTGTTAGCTGTAGCAAGGTAATATACAGGAATGACTTGCTAATTCAATTCAACCCACAAACTTTTTATTGTTGCCTAAAATCATAGACCTTTGATTAGAAAACCCGAAGTGCAGCACCCAATAACTGCCAAGAAAATCCTAAACTGTTAATATCTAGAACTAGAAGGGGTCAGGGATATGGCCTTTGGTGGCATGTTGTAAGGTAATTAACTTCGTGTGACAGATTTTGATGGTGTGTGAAACTTTTTTGTGGGTTGTAACTGAAATTTAAAAACCTTCTAATTAATCCCAAATAAGTACCTAGTCATTGATCTTAGCCATTCATTTTTCTACTAATATATCAAAAGTAATTTCCTTACGATCCATCCATGTTTCCAGTTTTCTTAGGTCCATTTAAGAAAAAGCAGGGCAACTAATATCAAAGAATCAAAATCTGACCTGATGACCATGGCATAGTCCCAGCTTAAATTGGCCAATGGTTAGTGTTTTGGTCTCCGGATATTTGGTCTCTTCATCATACTCACCACGAGTTATATGCAAGTCTGGACAAAGAGTCTTTAAGTAGTCATGAATTTCCTGAACATAAATGATAAATGAAGTAAAATTTGGTTATACATTCAACCATTAAATACATATCTAATTGCATATCATGCAAGTTAAAGAGAATAAAATATACAACATGTAAAAAAATAGAACCATAACAAATGTACAGAATTACTTTTAGTAGATGCAGATAGATTATTGATGCAATAAAAAGGGGTAAATAATGCATGAACAGAAATTGTGCTACAGGAATGTGGCAGTATCCATGCCACCAATGGAAGAATATTAAAGAAACATAAATCATTATTTGATCCCCCTTCAGTTGTCATCAATAACACAGTTTCACTGATCTTAATGGACTTGGTATCTGGTTTTATATGCATACAAAAATGTTTTTGGTTACAGAAAAATAAAAAAAGTTTCTTAATATCAACAAGAAAACTGGGTGGGGGGAGACATAGAACAGTCTTTTGACTTGCCCTTTGGAAATGGTAAATAATGCATGTTGCACAAGAATTAAGGAGCATCCCACCAGACTCCAGCATGGCTTCACCACTGGCCACAGGAACCATGACAAACCTTCCATACAGGCACCAAGGATTACCCAATTTTACTAATTGTTCAATAGTCATCGATTTTCTACCTAAGAAACATGTACAATGACAAAGACACAGGACACAATACAGACACAATGACAAAATAAAATTTGATGTGCCCTACAGCTAATTGTTCTAATACACACTGATGAGAGATAACCTTTCTGAATAAACTCAAATCTTACAACTACAAGATTTGAAGAGAAAAACATTTCATTTGTCAAAAGATAAAGAGAAAGATAAAAAAATTCAGACCTTCATATCTGTCCCCTGTTCCTTCATAATATAGAAATTGAAAACTATAAAGTAGAGACAACTGATTTTATTCCAATGCGGCATGGCAACAGTCAAAACTTAATCAGAAATAATTATTTCAATGAGATGGACATACCTTAATACATAAATTTCCAGTACAAATTATGTGCTGGATCTTGCCAGGGACAAGCATGGATTTAAACTTTGCAGGAAGATCTGGTGCCCTGTGGGGTATGTGCAAATCCCCCAGGGCCAAAACCAGCACCATCCTCAACAATCAAAAACTGAAAGTTGACTTAGGGAACCTGCAGAAACAATGTATTGCCCATAAACAAAAGAACAGTGACAAACAGCTAAAACAATTTGTCCAAAATAATTTATATAAAAATGTATAAAACAGGATATATAGTTATATACAGTAACATGTTCTATGATCAGATAAAAGTGAGTTTGTCAACATATAACTTGCTTAGAAAAGGGGATGAAAATTACATTCATAACTCTCTCAAATCTCCTATAAATCAACAATCCTGTCTGTATTATTATATTTCATTATTATGACCCAATTACCAACCACTTGACCTATGTCTAGGGCACTAGGTATCCCATCTTTCATGGAAAAATAAAATTTACTGAAGAGAAGAGGAACATGTACAAGAACAGAGGATAAGATATCATCTTAAAAGAGAACAAAAGCAAACAGGCCTATAACAACCCCCCAAGAAGGTAATTAACAAAGCAAAGCTCACGGGTCTGCATGCATATAATGGAACCACTAGAGAATATGCACTAGCTGAACACCATAAAGCAGCTAAGAAGAATACTTTATCCCAAAGTTGAGGTAGTATCAAAGAATTATCTTTGAAAATTCTGGCACTCCTCTCAGCCTTAAGAACCAAATAACAACACACTGTGCACCCGCAAAAAAAGTCCTCGTTTTACTACTCTCAAAACCTCCAAAGCAACACGAGTACCCGATCCCTGGCCCCAAATTTTGCAAATTGTTATTTTATAATGCCAAAATGTTGAATTGCAACTTAATATCATTCAAGTCTTGCATATCATGTTCTGAAAAAATAGGGATTCTTAATGTGAGAAGTATTTACTACCTTAATCTTAAAAGGTATTTGCAGCTTTTTATGTATGATTTACATGATAGAAATTTTTAATCCAAATATAGAATTAGTGAGAAAATTATCCAATAAAAACGTAATCTGTGAAAGATTACTAGTGTTAATTATCCCTATTCCATAATATACACATACACCATTAATATTAGGATTCCCGGTCACTACCACTTTCTTGCTTGAAAAGAAAAAAGAATCTGACCCTCAGCATGCTTTCATTGGAAAGAGCAAGGCAGTTGGTGATTTCTGAAAAGTCTGACAGTGTATTACTTGTACAGCAAGAAGCTGAACTTGAGAGACGAGATAGAAAACATTTCCCCCAATTTTACAATATTTCCGCTTGACCAATTTTCCATTCACCTATGAAAGCCGTATATGATACTCACAAATCCAACTTCGTTTACACAGCAGCTATGTCTCAATTCGATTTCACTCCCAATTTCATTTTGTAACGAAAAGCGAGGAGCAAACCAATTACACTCAAACAAGCTGGACAGCTATTATTCATTTCTGGGGTTAGATTTATGAAGAATCTCCATGATCCAAAAAATAATAATAATAATAATAATAATTATGTCAATGAAACGCAGGTAAGTGTGAAAAGGGCGAAAAATGGATCGGAGTAAAAGAAAGGCATGAGATCCAGAGTCATAGGAAGCGAAGAGGTGATTGAGAGAGAGAACCTGAGAAGAAGACGCCACGGTGAGATCGAGAGAGAGAGAGGACTCCACCCAAGTTGGCCGCTACAATCAAAAGGGGAACCCCAACTCCAACACCCACTCCTGCACCAAAATACACAATTTCAACATATTAATTATTAATTTAATTATAATAATCTCTCTCATCATTATATAAATAACATATCCTTTATTATAAGTACTTTTAAATTTTAACTTTTAAATAAATTATTTTCTTCCATATTTTTTCTTCTACAACTTCTTAAAACTACTTTTTTTTTACTAATAATTTTTCATTTTTCATTTTGAAATTATAATAATTATTCATAAAAATAATTATGAAACAAGTCATGTAGCCGTAGGAATTTTAAAAAAAATCTAAATTTCAGAGAAAAGAATAAGTTACTATCATGAAAATATATTTAAGTTTTTTTTTTTCAAACTTCTTCCTATTACAACAGCTCATTTGCAAGAATATATTTTATTAACCGATAAAATATGGAGAAAAAAATGAGCAATTAAACTTAGAAATATTGGTTTTTTTTATACATATTGGAAATATTGTTATTTTATAAAAAAAAAAAAATAGCTATTTGTTACCGCGAGTAATTTAATTAGCTTTTAATTATTCTTTCAAGTAACATATTTTTTTTTATAACATTTGTATACTCTTCAAAATTTAACCTTGTAATCTTTGAAATCGTAATTGGTTTCTCTTATATAAATTTTATGTTAGACAGACCTATTAAAAAATATGTAATAATATTTTAATATTTATTTTAATCTATTATCCACTTTAGTCAGGAAATTGGAAAAATAATAAAAAAATATAAGAATACACATAATTTTATTTCATTTATACTTATGTTTTCACCTACACTGATTAGGATATATTCAACATAATCATTATTATTGTTTTAAACTTATATTAATTTACATTGTTTAATCAAAAGTTACAAGTATAAATAATGATTCAACAATTGTAATTTATATTTTCTTATTACACAAATTATTAAGATTTTCATTAATATATCGGATATTGACTCGATATTATCATCATACACATTAACATTTATTAATTGAGTAAACTTACAAACATAATATAAGAGATTAAATATTTGTATTTTGAAACATACTAATAATTTTTTTTCACCTATTACTACTTTGTAGACGTGTAAATGAGTTGAATTAGATTAAATTTGACTTAATCTATAATCCAATCTAATAAAACATAATTAGTTTAAGTTGAATTATATTTTTGTTTTTCTGTCCAACATCTTAACTCAACCCAACTTTAATTGGATTATGTTAATTAATTAGATTAATTTATTAAAATATTAATAAATTTTAAAACTTTGAAAACATTTGAAAAATAAAAAACAATTAGTACAAATATGAATTAAATAGTTTTTCTAATGTCTTTCATTTAAAATTATAATTTTATTATATATTAATATATATATTTGGTTCAGTGCGTGTTTGCTTCGGTTTATGTTTATGAGAAGTAAAAAATTGTAGCTTCCACGTAAATTTGTTTCTAAACGTGGAGAGGAAAAGAAAAATTACGTTTATAAATTAAAATCAAACACGCACTCAATCGTTAACCCACTGATTCAATCCATAATAACTCATTAATTCAATACATTAACCTAGTTAAACACATATTTGAATTTCAAAGCATTGTTATTTAACTAAATTATGAAATAAGAGCTCATTCTTAATTAGACGAATCTATATCAGGGAAAACTAAGTCTCTTACAAAAATCGACTTCTAAAAAATAAGAAATCATTTTTCTGACAAAACCAACAACAGTAAAATATTTAATTGGTTCTTTTAAAATAATAAAATCATATAAATAGTACACAAAATACGTTACATTAAAAAAGGAAGAGTATTTGTGGTTCAGCCTTCATGGTATATAAAAGTGAAGTAAAACAACTTTTATTCGATAACATTTATTGGCGGCATGAAAAGAGAAACATTGAAAGAACTAAAAGTGGACATAGTTGTATGATTCATATCCGATCACAGTTCACAGCAGCAGCAATATTGTCCTACATGTTGTGGGTTTCATGATTGGTTCCAGATTCAGCCATCCATGCTAGGAAAATAAAGGGGTAAAAGGAAATGTATCGCAGGGGCTTCATGGTTGACTTTGAGGGGAGGAAAAAGAGGATGTATAAGAAAGATACAGCCACAACAAAAATCAGAGTGATAACCAGAAATGTGGTTGCCAACCAACCTTTTTTGCTAATAACAGTGTAGAGACCAGACATGAAAGCCAGAGAGAGTGAGATGAGAGACACTCCAAGAAGTGGCAATACCCAATCAAGAGCATATTCCAACAATTCAAGTACTCCTAGTCGTGTCCAAACCAGGATGACGGTAGCACTAATGGAACTAAACAAAGATATTGTGATGCTGAAAATAAAAAAGTGGAACATGGTATGATTTATGTTATGAGCTGCACCATCAGCTTCACCAGGCACTGCTAAACATGCTGCCACTGAAGCCGTAACTATTAGTGTTGAAACCACTTGCAGTGTCTCCACTCTGTCTTTATACGGATCCGTCTCCGAACCTTTATCTTTACAATTTACTGTTATTTTTGTCTCAGAAACTCCATCTTTACCCTTTTCAACTACTGTCTCGGAGTTACTTACATCTTTACCCTTTTCAACTTTTGTCTCGGAGTCACTTACATCTTTACCCTTTTCAACTTTTGTATCGGAGTCACTTCCAGGGAGTTCTTTCCTAGAATTTCTCTTGGCACCAGCAGATTTCAATGCAATATATGTGAGTCGCTGCGTATGGTATATATATATCTTTGTGTTATATAATCAAGACAATTAATATATAAAAAAGAAGAAAAAAAAGACACCAATTAGTAGTGAAATGTTTTTTATTACATACTGGTTTTATTAAAAAATTTAACTAATCACTTTTAGTGATGTCTCCTCCAATTATATTTTTTTAAAATATAAAATTCAAATTTGAAAATTTATTTAAGAAATTGAATCTAATACCATTTGAATTAATAACTTGATTACAATAGTGTATTATGTAAGAGAAGAGTATGCAGTAACTCATTCAATCATTTATTTATACCTTAATTTTTGATTATTTATGTTATTAGAAAAGTTTTTAAAATTCTCCTAATATTATAAAAATGCTCATAATTAGTTGAATTAAGATACAATATATAGGTGAGTGAAGGTCATAGCTAAGGAAGACGGGCTACGTACTCTTTTCTTGTGCTAACATTGTGTTATGTATCACTACAAAAACAACAAAAATAATATGTAGGCATGTTATCTCATTATTGTTGAATAAGAGAGGGTGTTGGGTTGATTAACTTAACAAGATTAGAAGTGAAAATGAATTCCCTGAAGTGCATTTACAATGTATATATATATACTTGCCTGTCGAATGGATGGATTTTTTTCCTGCGATTGATAAACTTGATAAGCTTCATTTACTATGTCGAGAGCTGTTTGCTTGTGTTGGTTAACGGCACGAAGATTCACTCTCTCATTCCATGTGAGATCGTAGACAATTCTGGGATGACACCATTTGGAGGCCAAATGCAAAGGTGTATTTCCTTCCACATCCTTTTGATTTATCATCCCTATATTAGCTCGAGTTTTAAGGATGTATTGCACCACCTCATACTTTCCACTTTTTGCTGCAATATGAAGAATGTTACGGCCATTTTTGTCAAGCATCTCAGTGGGATCTGAACAGTATTTTAACAACTCCTCAAGTACTTGCACGTTTCCTCCATGTGCTGCTAGATGAAGGGGTAAGAATTCATGCTTGTCCTTTCCATTCATGCATGACTTACACTGCTCAATTAAATAAACAACACCGTCAAGGAAACCTGTAAATGCAGCGTAATGAAGAGCAACCCTTTCATTTACGTCCGCCAAATGTATCCATTCTTGCTTATTGGTCAGTATGGTATCAAGCATATCTGTCACGTACATAATATTAATTACCAATTATATCTTTGGATTCTTATTTATACTATGATTAATGAATTAATAAACTAAAGATGCAATCAATTACCTTTATCACGTTTCATGATTATCGCCATAAAGGGTGATATTCCTTGTGGCATCACATCCTTGTGGCACTTATTCAAGATTAGAGAAGAGTATGCAGTAACTCATTCAATCATTTATTTATACCTTAATTTTTGATTATTTATGTTATTAGAAAAGTTTTTAAAATTCTCCTAATATTATAAAAATGCTCATAATTAGTTGAATTAAGATACAATATATAGGTGAGTGAAGGTCATAGCTAAGGAAGACGGGCTACGTACTCTTTTCTTGTGCTAACATTGTGTTATGTATCACTACAAAAACAACAAAAATAATATGTAGGCATGTTATCTCATTATTGTTGAATAAGAGAGGGTGTTGGGTTGATTAACTTAACAAGATTAGAAGTGAAAATGAATTCCCTGAAGTGCATTTACAATGTATATATATATACTTGCCTGTCGAATGGATGGATTTTTTTCCTGCGATTGATAAACTTGATAAGCTTCATTTACTATGTCGAGAGCTGTTTGCTTGTGTTGGTTAACGGCACGAAGATTCACTCTCTCATTCCATGTGAGATCGTAGACAATTCTGGGATGACACCATTTGGAGGCCAAATGCAAAGGTGTATTTCCTTCCACATCCTTTTGATTTATCATCCCTATATTAGCTCGAGTTTTAAGGATGTATTGCACCACCTCATACTTTCCACTTTTTGCTGCAATATGAAGAATGTTACGGCCATTTTTGTCAAGCATCTCAGTGGGATCTGAACAGTATTTTAACAACTCCTCAAGTACTTGCACGTTTCCTCCATGTGCTGCTAGATGAAGGGGTAAGAATTCATGCTTGTCCTTTCCATTCATGCATGACTTACACTGCTCAATTAAATAAACAACACCGTCAAGGAAACCTGTAAATGCAGCGTAATGAAGAGCAACCCTTTCATTTACGTCCGCCAAATGTATCCATTCTTGCTTATTGGTCAGTATGGTATCAAGCATATCTGTCACGTACATAATATTAATTACCAATTATATCTTTGGATTCTTATTTATACTATGATTAATGAATTAATAAACTAAAGATGCAATCAATTACCTTTATCACGTTTCATGATTATCGCCATAAAGGGTGATATTCCTTGTGGCATCACATCCTTGTGGCACTTATTCAAGATTAGGATAACGGTATCCTTATGACCTGTCTCAACTGCCAAATACAACACTGATTGATTTGCCTTGTTTATTTTAGTTAACGCAGACTCATAACAAGACTCGGACACTGATTCTCCTCTGTATGAGTCAAGAACTTGGAAAATGTTGGGCCCTTTGCACTTGCTACACATCATGGCCTCGTGTAACATAGTGTTCCCTTGATTATTCTCCAACCTGATCAAATATATTAAACCTTCTGCATTATTTCTTTGTTCAAATTGTAACCACTCCTTAGCTATCTCGGGTCTTTGAAAATCAGAATAAGCTTCCAAAAGCTTTTGAATGGTTAAGTTATGACCAGCCCTTGCAGCAACATGTAGGGCAGTGTCTTCGTTTTTGTTACGCAAGAACAAAAGCTCAGGGGCTTTTTTAACAACCAAATCCACAACGTCATTGTTTCCATTACAAGCCGCCACATGTAGCATGGTGTTTCCCAATACAGGGGTTCTAGTTTGCGTTAAATCGAAGAAACATGAATCTTGTAAATTATTACTCAATATACATCCCTTCGCCATGTGATACATTTCTTTAAGCAAATCAATATTATCCTTTTTGTCATGTGTCTTACGGATCCCACCAATAATTGTGTCCTCTGGCTTTAAGCCTTCCTTTAATTCAGCCCTAAAAATTTTAATTCAGGTTTGGTCAAAAAAAAGTTCAGACTTTACAACACATATAGCAAAATAAAATAGTCATGTAAGACGAGATAAAATTTACACACCAAGAGTGCACCAAGAACGGCCCGTTCTGGTTTCAGAACGGAACGTTCTGGTTCCAGGTGTTTTCAAAAAATTGGCATCCACGTGACATCCACCTATGCATCGACGTGACATCCACGTGGCCAATAATTAACTCCGTTTAAATAATTTGGACGAAGTCCGAAATTGAATCAAATTAATTTATTAGGGACCAAATTGAAACCAATTAATTTATTAGGGATCAAATTGAGACCAAAAATAAAAGTGGGAATAAATTGAGACAAATAATTATTATAAGGGACTAAAATACTATTTTAGCCTTTTTTAAATTAATCATCTCTTTTCACTTACTTATTTTATTTATTTAATTAATTAATATTTGAAAATTGTGTCTACTCGTCTTTTCAAATCATAATAAAAGAGAAAAAAGAGCTATCTTACTAATTCTCAACATTTATTATTTGTTATCTAAAAGTATTGTTAATTGATAAAAAAATATTTTAGAAAAAATAATTAATGCAAAAAGACAATTCGAAAATAGTATTGTAAAAAGAGACAAACAATAAAGTAAAAATAAAGTATATGTAGGGATGGAAGAGTAATTTTGATTCTAATGTTTCTTACTCTCTAAACTTTGGCTCATTTAAACGGAAGCACCTTGATTGTCAACGGGAAGGGAACATTTGGCCAACCTAAAGGCTAAAGCTAAAGCTCAGCGCATAATGAAAGAAACTCAACTCTTTTGTTAATTTTATTGTAACAAGTAACAACAAATGGTATCTACCAATTAGATTATTTAGCTGGATAATCGATTATTCCAGAGAGTTGTTCCTGGGATAATCGATTATTTTGGCAAATAATCGATTATTACAGCAAGGCATTCCACTTAGCCTATTTGCTGAAATAATCGATTATATTTAACAATAATCGATTATTTTGAGTTAGTTCTTAAAACTTCATTTTAAGACTCAAAATAACTTTCCAATGTTTTTAACTCATCATCATATACTCTCTACTTGGTTTAGATAAGATTTGATTATGCACAAAGTATACTAAGCACACAAAATATAAAAACACATTCAAAACAATTTATTTCCTAAGCTCTATTACATAGCTCCATTTCATAGCATTTTCTTGACTCTTCTTTGCCTTTGTTTTTGTGCTCCAAGTTGTTGTTGTATACTTGTTGTGATCATCAAAACTCCTTGAAGATTCAAGCTCTCCTAAGCTCAACACTTAGTTGTTCTTGAGGATTCTGACGGTGTCTCCTCGTTGGTGTTGTGGGATGAAAGACTGCCCCTAGGTGGATGGGCAGGAGATGTTTGATGTGCCCTTGTGTTGGTGGTAGAGAAATGGATGGTTTGCAGGGATTTTGATGTTCCCCCTGCGACAATGAGTATTGTGATGCCTCTCCAGGTGCATGCTTGTGGTAGGTTTTTTTTTAATTTTATTTCTTTGTTTAGCTTCGGCTTTTTCATATTTGAAGCTTGCCTTTTTTTTCTATTTTTATAAATGCTTCGACTTTTTCAACATGTACGAAGCTTGCCTTTTTCTGTCTATGGCTGGTCATTGTAAGGGACTTGCTTGACCTTATATGATCTCTGTTGTGAAGGGAGAATTTTTCCCCTTCACACGTGGCTCCCTTCTTGATTGCTTTCTTTAGGGATTTTATTCGTAATGCATGCATGGATTGAAAATGCTTGTAGCCTACTGCCCTTTTGGATAATTCCCTTTGGATGTGAAAAGTTATTTATTTTAAGTGCACGCTTTTCTGGATGCCATACATACACGTTTAAGCTTTTTTAGAAATCTATTGGTATCAGGTGGCTTCCCTTTACCCCTTTAGTCCTTTTTTTTACTGAAGATTCGCACATGACTTTTGCTTACTTTAGGGGCCCGTATAGGATTGCCTCGTTTATTTAATTGCTTTTTACTGGGTTGTTTCGATTTTTCCTTTTAATACCAAAACACGTCATTTAAAGATAAAGGTTGAAAGAACTGAGAAGAATGGTATTTTATTGTAAATCAGAAAATTTCAATGAGGGTTACAAAATGAGTTTTGGAAGAGAAAAGCTGGCTGAGGTTGGCTAGTGTCTGGGCTTGAGTGATCATGACTTTAAGAAACGAAGCTTAGCATCCTTCTAGTCGTCTGATCAGCACTGAGTCAAGTAATTACTTGACTTCTACAAAGGGTTGATAGGGTTTTTAGGTCGTCCATTCGCCTTGCTTTAACGCCTTTTTTTGCGCTTAAGTAAAGATTTAATTGGTCGAATCTGGTTCGAACCCATTCAGTTTCTGAGAGCTTTGCCTCCATGAGTAATCTCAAAGAAGGAATTTCCACTTCAACTAGTAGGATTGCCTCCATCCCGTATACTAAGGAGAAAGGTGTGGCCCCCGTCGATGTGCAAAAGGATGTTCTATACCCATGCAATGCGTAAGGTAGCATCTCATGCCAATCTTTGTATGTGACAACCATTTTTTGAATGATCTTCTTGATATTCTTGTTGGCTGCCTCAAAATTATGGTTATAAAGATCAAAAAAATATTGATCCTTAATAAGATTCATATAGAATTGTGAAATTAAATTGTAACCTGTAGAAGAAAAAAAAAGTAATGCATAAAATTGACTGAATAAGCAACTACTTAAGCATTTTTATTTTTCCATGTGACATGTATCCGAAAGATTTTTTTCATACAGGCGGGGATCAAAAAATACTTGAGCAAGTATATATCTCGATCCGTATGAAATGTTTTGCATTATATATAATATTTTTATCTACTTTTTTTCACACATCTCAAACTTTACCCACAAAATCAAAGAAAGTGTAACTTTTTGTTGTCCGATATTATTATAAGAAACATTTTTATATTAGAAAATGATCCATGAACGTTACAAAATTATTTGACACATGGAAGGAGGAAGAGATAAAATAAAAAGAAATACGTGTATAATAGATTATATTTACATAGATGATGTTATAGGATAAATAGATGGAAGTAATAAGTATTAATAAAGCATTTGGAAGGATAAAAATAATTATTACTGTGCATAATAGAATTGTATATTATCATAAAAATAATTGTATATTATCATCTAGTTGCATATTACAATGTATAATATAATTGTTGATTTTTATAATAATTATTTTCAAATTTATATTTAGGAAAATTTTAAAATATTTGACAATACAAAAATTATACAGAGATTACATTAATAATTAAACTCTTATTATTTATAGATAAAATATAATTATAATATTGTATAACTTTTTAATCATATATTTCTTCAATTAACTTATCAATTATATAATTGTAACAATATATGATTAATTTGTTTATGCATTATATATTAATTTTCATACATTAAAAAAAATTGGTAGAGGCCATACGCAGTTAATTGAGAAATTGAATTTAACGAGGAGTTAAAAGAATTTATTGATTACTGTAAAAGAAATAGAATTTATTAATTTTAAAATAATTTAAATTAATACATCAACTCTTATATATTAAATACGAATCTTTATTTTATTTGAGAATTTTTTTAAAGGAAAGATTTGTTGGCATTTTTATAACCTGTTTTTTATTTTGATTTTTATTTATCATAACTATTTATTTATTAAATATTAATATTTTAAAATAAATTATCAATAAATAAAAATTATTTTATACTATAATATAAAGAACAACTTAAAAACTATTTTTTACTATAAAATAAATTATCGCTAAATAAAAATTAATTTGCACTAAATCAAGTTCCAACTTAAACTTTTAGAAATGATAGACATGAATAAAGTGTAACTAAAAATCCGAGTAGCATCCAAAGTCATACAAAACTTCAAAAAAATTAATAAAAGGTTCCTAATCAGCATAATGTCATACAACATACATGATATTAAGAATGCAAACAAACCTTTTATACTTAAGGTTACACATTATAAAGTCTAAAATATTAATATATTAATATATTAATAAATTTGAATCTTTAATTAAAAATGTAAGTAAAAATCTACTCACACGGGCTATTATTACTAATATTATAGAGTAAAAAATTAAATTTAAATAATAAAAATGTGTTGTGTTTATAAAATAATTAATCTTACCACTAAATTGAATATTATTTATTGTCGCTTTATTTTAGTATGAGTAATGTACATCCATATTTATTATATATAATTAAAATTTGTATTATTTTTTAAGTAATTTTTGTTATTTTTATTTTTAAATAAATATGTAAAGACATAAAATGTTTATCTTATTTTAAAATTGATTATGTAATTTCTTTTTTGTCATTATTTTTTTAGACTATTATATTCTCTTTACTTATTTCACTCACTATGTAACGTTTATACTCTTTATATTTATTTTTCTCTTTTGTGTATTAAAGCATGATAAGAAGTTTAATTTCTTCCTCTTCCTTAGTCGAAGCTTTGTGTTGATCTACTCATCGTTTTTCTAGAATAATCATGATTAAAAAAATTTATTATTCGGTCAAAAAAGTCAAGACTCTATAACTTATGTATAGCAACAAAAAAGAAGTATCTAAAGAAAAAATGTGAGATTGATATAAAGTTGTGATATTTAAAAGAAGAGCTACTTAAATTGTAAATTAAATATAGAAAGAAAAAAAATAATGCATCAAAATAGCTCACTTCATATCCAACGCTTGATTTGCGCGAATGCCGAACCATTTAAGTTCTCCCTCTTCCTCTTCCTCACTTTCAGTTGAAAGCTCTTTACTTGATCCACTCATCTTTTTTCTAGAATAATCATATTCTAAATTTTATTATTTGATCAAAAAAAGTTCAGGTTTTATAACATATATATAACAACAAATAAAAATATTTTAATGTAAGGTGAGATCATGTAGCTAGAGTTATCATATTTAAAATAAGAGTTGCTTAAAATGTAAAATATAGAAAAAAGTAATGCATCAAAATGACTCACAAACAAATATTTACGCTTTTTTTGTATTCTATTAGGAGTATGTTTTAGTTTATTGAATTAAAAATTAATCATTCTTGTGCAACATTGTAACCACTACTAGCTTAAAAGGTTTTTGCACAATTCAAAAATTGAAACAAGTGATGTTTATTTGTACACTCAAATAAATAAAACACCTCATTAACACTTTTAATTTGTCTTTATCTCTCTTCTTTTTACATATGTCATCAATTATATCAATTACTTTATACATCTAAAAAATTATATCAATTACTTTACTTTCTTCTCTTCCTAATTTCTCTCAATATGTAAACACCTCATGGATGTGCAAAATTATGTTCTAAGCATAAAATAATTAAACAGTTTGAGTAAGTATATATCTCCGTTGGAAATAATTTTTATTGGATAATTATATCTATCTCTTATTTTTGTTAAAACATCTCAAAATTTACCTCCAAAATCAAATAGAGTATAACTTTTTGTTGTCCGATTTTATTATGAAAATAATTTTTATATTAGAAATTGATTTATTAATATCACAAATTTATTTGACACCTAGAAGGAGAAAGAGATAAAAAAGAAAAAGAAGTACATTTTTAATAGATGGAAATAATCAATATTAATAAAGTATTTTGAATATTGTGTATTATTAGAAACTTGTCACATTTTTGTAAGAAATTGTATAGCCTGCCTGAGACTTCTTTAATGGATGTGAAAGTTTCATCACATGCTAGGTTACTCAAGATTTGAGTTCGTTTATCAACATAGTATATATTAGTATTGAGAGATTATTACAACATTCATTCATATGGGTTTACAATACTCATGCTCAATCAAAGACTGCATTGATAATTAAATGTAAATGTTAACTTGTGTATTTTTATTTGAATAGTAGATATATAGAATAAAAATAATGGTATATTAGTTGGAGAAATGTAGATTGAAAAGAAATAAAAAGCATTGAACTGACCTGAAGGCTGAAGCAGACGGTTGATGTTGGATGTTTCATGAGACATCCATATATGTATCTATATATAGGAGTGTATGTGATTCTTTAGTTCTTTACGTGCGCAGTGTTATTTATCTATTTCGTAACAGATGAAAAAGTGTAAAAGCAGGCTTTGCTATCCTTTTGTTCTATTTAAGCTTCTCACTCCTGCAATTTAAGAACTATTCCTTATCACCTATCACTATTTCTGTCATGCAAACGATTTCCACGTTTAATCACCACAATACAAAATATTTTAATCATATGCGTCCGCAATATATATATATATATATATATATATATATATAGAGAGAGAGAGGAGGGTTCAAACGACATCGGTGTAACTTTTACTAAGTGTTACATCGCTCAATAACTTTATATTAAATATGAGTTTTGTAAATCCAACCGTTAGATTGAAAATTCATATCATTTGTACGTGTATGTCAAGTTTTATTATAATTGAACAATAACTTGAAGGTACTCAAAATGTTCATTCTTATAAAATAAAATTGACATATTATATACATTTCAAAATATACTAAAATATGAACATTTTGAGTACCTTCAAGTTGTTGTTCAATTTTAATAAAACTTGACATACACATACAAATGATATGAATTTTCAATCTAACGGTTAGATTTTCAAAATTCACATTTAATATAAAGTTATAAAGTTATTGAACAGTGTAACATTTAGTAAAAGTTACACCGATGTCGTTTGAACCCTCCTCAATCTAATTTTTACTAAGTTTTACACTGCTCGATAACTTTATATTAAATGTGAATTTTGTAAATCCAACTGTTAGATTGAAAGTTATCTACTCTTGTATATATATATACAAGAGTAGATAACTTTCAATCTAACAGTTGGATTTACAAAATTCACATTTAATATAAAGTTATCGAGCAGTGTAAAACTTAGTAAAAGTTACACCGGCGTTATTTGAATCCTCCTCGTATACATATGTATGTATGTATGAATTGGTGTTTGGATTTTTGTGGATTCCACGTGAGCTTAGAGTGTAGATTTATTATGCAACCATGTGGATTTAATTGTAATTCATTCTCATTGAATTTTATTCACCGTAATTTATATTGTTGGCGGAACATTACGATTTTGTGTTATTTGTTCAATATATGAGTTCAAAGAAAATATAATTATTATTAATTACTTGATTGACCGTTACAAAGCAATTGAAATTTATCAATAGAGTTTTAATTACTATTATGATTAGTTAAGAAAATTCAGTTTTAAAATCATTGGTAAAATGATATTTGTCCGAGTATTTTCAATAAATGAGCAAGAATAGTGTGAAGAAAACAAATGTAAGATTTTTGGGAATAATTAAAATCTGTTTGATTATTGTTCTCAAAATTAAAAATTAAAAATTTTTATATTTGATTATAATTATATATTTTTGTATAAAAATATTTTTTTAAAAAATATTTTTTTATTAAAATAATCTCATTAGATATATTTATTTACTTAAATCTCATTAAAAATATGATATTAAACTATTTTAAAAAGTTAAAAAATTAAAATTAAAATTATTTAAATATAAAATTCAACAAAATAAATAAACAAAGAAAAATAATACATAATAAATAAGAAGGATAAAAGTATATTATTTCATTTGATTCAAATAAATAATGTTAACAAATACCATTAAACTATAAAAATAAAATAGACATTAATAATATTATTAAAATTGATGGTGATGGTTTTTCTACTTTTGGCAAGCGGACCAAGTTTCATTGTAGTAATTTGATATTGTCCTCAGGAATTTGGTGATACTAGTAATTTCCTTTCTTGTTTACGAAAAACACAAATGAGAAGTTGGTTTAAATATATACCAAAGCAAATAAAAGCAATAGTATGAAGTTAATAGAAAACTTTATATAAAAAAGAGATTGGATTCAAATGTACTTTCTAAGTCTTTTAATCTTCATCAAATAAATATGATTTCAATTCTATTACTCCACGTTCAATGATTAACTCAATCAAATTCCTCAAAATTGAGTCCTAAGGTGATTAATCTTAAACATGATTCCTCTATGATTTAAGATTAATACCTTGCATTAAGAACAATAACTTGAACCAAAAATGACTAACAAAATCAAGTATATTCCTAGAATAAGAGATTGTTAGGTAAGTGGATCAATTCAGGCTTTTGAAAATATTTTCCAACAGAGTTCAAAAACCTAATTAATATCATAAAACAGGTGATCAAAACCAGATTAAACATTAAAAGAAGAATCAAACACAAGTGATAGAACTGAATATCATATAAATCTAAGAAGAAAGAGTTAGTAGTTACGTACATTGAATCCAACCCAAGAGAAACTAGCTACTCATGGTGAGGGCCATAACAAATAAAAACATGAGATTACACAATAGAAGAGAAGAAATGAAGATGGGTCCTCGTTCCCAAGCAATCCAAGCATTAAATCTAATCTTCGCGCTCTCCTCTTCTCTCGGGTTTTTTTCTCTCCTTTTGTTCGTTTAATTTTTTGCCGTCGTGGTTTTTCGTTCCAAATATTTTTTTAAAAAATATTTTTTTATTAAAATAATCTCATTAGATATATTTATTTACTTAAATCTCATTAAAAATATGATATTAAACTATTTTAAAAAGTTAAAAAATTAAAATTAAAATTATTTAAATATAAAATTCAACAAAATAAATAAACAAAGAAAAATAATACATAATAAATAAGAAGGATAAAAGTATATTATTTCATTTGATTCAAATAAATAATGTTAACAAATACCATTAAACTATAAAAATAAAATAGACATTAATAATATTATTAAAATTGATGGTGATGGTTTTTCTACTTTTGGCAAGCGGACCAAGTTTCATTGTAGTAATTTGATATTGTCCTCAGGAATTTGGTGATACTAGTAATTTCCTTTCTTGTTTACGAAAAACACAAATGAGAAGTTGGTTTAAATATATACCAAAGCAAATAAAAGCAATAGTATGAAGTTAATAGAAAACTTTATATAAAAAAGAGATTGGATTCAAATGTACTTTCTAAGTCTTTTAATCTTCATCAAATAAATATGATTTCAATTCTATTACTCCACGTTCAATGATTAACTCAATCAAATTCCTCAAAATTGAGTCCTAAGGTGATTAATCTTAAACATGATTCCTCTATGATTTAAGATTAATACCTTGCATTAAGAACAATAACTTGAACCAAAAATGACTAACAAAATCAAGTATATTCCTAGAATAAGAGATTGTTAGGTAAGTGGATCAATTCAGGCTTTTGAAAATATTTTCCAACAGAGTTCAAAAACCTAATTAATATCATAAAACAGGTGATCAAAACCAGATTAAACATTAAAAGAAGAATCAAACACAAGTGATAGAACTGAATATCATATAAATCTAAGAAGAAAGAGTTAGTAGTTACGTACATTGAATCCAACCCAAGAGAAACTAGCTACTCATGGTGAGGGCCATAACAAATAAAAACATGAGATTACACAATAGAAGAGAAGAAATGAAGATGGGTCCTCGTTCCCAAGCAATCCAAGCATTAAATCTAATCTTCGCGCTCTCCTCTTCTCTCGGGTTTTTTTCTCTCCTTTTGTTCGTTTAATTTTTTGCCGTCGTGGTTTTTCGTTCCTTTTCCTCCCAAAAGTATGTTCTATCCAAGGGAAAGTTGGGATCTTTAACCCAAGGCTGCAACTCTGAATGCGTGGCTGCGGCTTCAGAAGTGTTTCAAGGTGCAGGAAGCTCCAAAGTTGCAACTCTGGAATGGGGCCGTAACTCTAAAACTTTGGGCAGTCCAGCATGTTCCAAGGTTGGAGCTGACTCTAAAGCTTCAACTCTCTGGAATGCTTCTTTTTGGATCAGGTCCTGTGACTGCAACTTTGGCTTTGGAGCTATAGCCTTAGATTTCCAATTTTATCAAAATCTACACAAAAGAGAAATATTTTTAACCAAAGAAACTACACTCTTGTAACTCCTTAAATTAATCTTAATTTATCTATTTAAGGGGTCAAATACAACTAAAATTACTTATATCTCTCCCAAAAAGAGTACCAAATTAAGCATAAAAGTATGTAATTTGAGCACTTATCAATTAACAAGATCAAAAAATAATGAAGAGAAATAGAAAGAGAGAGAAAAAGATAAAGATTTATGTTTTAAAAAAGGATATTCTAATCTTTTTATATACTTAAAACTCTTCTCCTAACTCGATAAAGTTAGATTCTCACTCATTCTCACTTCCTCATGGGAATTTTTTTTGTGAGAAAGTAGAATAAAAATGGCTCCCGGAAAACTATATTATTGAAAATCTTATTTTTAAATAGTTACCCAACATGAGAAATTAGGATTTCTGCCTAAATCCTAAATCGCAAGTAAAAATATTTTACATACCAAATACTCTCTTAGAATAAATAAACCCCTCTCCATTATATAATATAATGTATATATTAATGAGTCTTATATATTAAACACAAATCACGATTTGAGTGAAATATTTTTTAAGAGTTTTCCTTCGATGAGAAGGTTTGTAGATATTTTTTTAACTTCTTATTTAATTTAACTTTTATTTATAATAATTAATTATAAACTAAATTTAACGTTTTAAAATAAATTATCAATAAAAAGTAAATTTTTTATAATATAAATTATTTATCATAAATATAAAATGTAATTTATATATTTTAAAATATCTATTTAAATAATTTTTAAGTATTCAAACATAGTATTATTTATATGATTTATTATAAATTTTAATTATATATAATAAACATGTTTATATATTATATATGCTAAAACATTGGTGTATATATATAATATTATAAAAACCCTAAATATATATATATATATATATAATATTAACATGTTTAAATTAAACATTAGTAATTAATTTATAAAATATATAATAATATATCTATAATCTATACCTATATATATATAAAAAAGAAATAACTTTTTATTTTAGTGTATATAATTTTTGAACTATTTTATCTTTAAATTTTTAAATAGTAAAAAATAACATTAAAAATTAATTATTGTTATACATTCAAAATCTTAAGATTTAGGAACTACACATAATACAAGTTGACTCAACAAACATTAGTAATTTTTAAATAACTTTGACTAAATATAAAAACACAAAGTGCATCCATCTCACTAATAATTAATAAAAAAATATATTTTTTGATTTTCACTTCTCTTAAAAACACATTTATCTTTTAATACCTACAACCCTCCTTTATATATAAATACTCTTGTTTATCATTTTTACACCCATTCCTTTCATAACTATAATTTGTCCTTAAATAAAATCAACCTTAAGGTGTAAACAGAACAATTTAAACTAAGTTCACATCTAGTCTTTACTTATTCAACTCTCATATTAATCTTATTTTATCCTTATTATCTAACAGTACTACACGTGTTAAAATAAAATAATAATTTCTCTTGGTCCGCATATTCTTCTTCTTTCACTTTGTTTTCCTAACTTCTTATGTAGTCAAATTATTTGATCGTCGATTGCTTTATTTTCACACGAGTCAAAAATAACGTCCAAAATATGTTTACCAGTCTCAGTCGCAGGCCCCTGTTCCGCATAGTTAAAAGACAATATTCGAGTTTCATGTTGGACTTAAGAGACTTAATTCAATTTTTTTGTGCTAAGAAGAAAGTGTGATAAATTTGAAGACTCAAGAGACCGCAATGAGTATGACATTCTGACTAAAATCAACGTCTTCCCTTCGCACGGCTCTCAAAAACTTGCTTCACGTAAAACAGAAATCTCCATCCCATCATTTATCTTTCTTTGGTCAAGTGCCCAAAGCAAAAGAAAAAGACAACTAGTTTACATAATCATATAATCTTGATTCCTTTTTTAACATTTGTATAAATAATTATTTTCAAAACAAATAATTGTCCAGTGATAATTTTTAATTAATGGCATCCAGTTACTAAAAATTGTTAAATGGAGGTAAATTTCGTAGGAACCAAATATAATAATACCATGAAAAATATATTGTTACATAAGCATTTGGTAAATATCGAATAAGCACTTTACACTATTTCATTAATAATTAATAATCATGGCATAAATGTTGTTGAGATTTTTGAACTTTATTTGCTTTGTGGTACCGTCTAAGAAATCAGATGCTGAAACACTATGAACAATTCAAGGGAAAATGCACCGAAGACGAAATCATAGTAGAAAATTCAACAAAGCAAAATGATCACGTGGCATGCATTTCATGATTCAGGAGGAAAATTTCTTTTTCTCGTTGTCTTCACTGAACTCTATGCATTCCTATAAATGGCACACACATAGCATTCCAATTTGCATAACAAAAGAAAGAAAAAGTGCGAGAGATGGAGAACTTTCCCGTGATCAACTTGGAGAATCTCAACGGTGAAGAGAGGAAAGCCACATTGGAGCAGATTGAAGAGGCTTGCCGGAACTGGGGATTTTTTGAGGTACCCCACAAACCAACTCACTAAGTTTTGTCATACTCATCAGATATATATTTGTGTATTTGCAAGTTTACAACTCAAAATCTTCTCCATGTTGTTTATTTTAACTAAATTAATTATGTTGCTTTCCAAATTGTAGTTGGTGAATCATGGAATACCCCATGAACTTTTGGATACGTTGGAAAGGTTAACAAAAGAGCATTATAGGAAATGCATGGAGAAGAGGTTCAAGGAGGCAGTGGCAAGTAAGGGGTTAGAGGATTTCCAAGCTGAACAAAAGGACATGGATTGGGAGAGTACCTTCTTCTTGCGCCATCTCCCAACCTCCAACATCTCTCAAATCCCAGATCTCAGCCAAGAGTACCGGTAAGATAAACTCAACTATGAGACAAATGTCGGAGATCATCTCACATGTACCAGTAAAATGGTCATAATTGTATATATATAAGTGAGGTGTAAATGAACGGAGAACAGTTCTTACCTAATAAGTTTTACAGAGGCCAAAAACCCACTTTCTAAAAATTGCATATACATGACATATATATTATTATATTATTAATTGCATGTATGAAGATTTAGAACAGCAGAAGTAATTAACAAAGCAAAGCTGCATCTAATTGTATGCATTGAGTGACAAATTTGATAATGTGATACATACCATTGTCTGATGTCTACACATGACATGGTCTGAACTAGATGGGTTAATGATGCAGGGAGGCAATGAGAGAATTTGCACAGAAATTGGAGAAACTTGCAGAAGAGTTGTTAGACCTGTTATGTGAAAATATTGGATTAGAGAAAGGGTACTTGAAGAAGGCGTTTTATGGATCAAGGGGTCCAAATTTTGGTACAAAGGTGGCAAACTACCCTCCGTGTCCAAAGCCAGAGTTGGTGAAGGGTCTTCGGGCTCATACTGATGCAGGTGGGATTATCCTTCTCTTGCAAGATGATAAGGTCAGTGGCCTTCAGCTTCTCAAAGATGACCAATGGGTCGATGTACCTCCAATGCGCCATTCCATTGTTGTTAACCTTGGTGACCAAATTGAGGTATGTATGTTTTTCTTTCACTAAATTATTCTTTTGTTGTTATAAAAATTCTCATCCAACATTCTTATAGGTAATCACCAATGGGAAATACAAGAGTGTGGAGCATCGTGTGATTGCTCGAACTGATGGGACCAGAATGTCCGTAGCCTCATTCTACAACCCTGCTAGTGATGCTGTTATCTACCCTGCACCAGCATTGTTGGAGAGAGAGGCAAAGGAGAATGACCAAGTATACCCAAAATTTGTGTTTGAGGATTACATGAGGCTCTATGCTAAACTAAAGTTCCAGCCAAAGGAGCCAAGATTTGAAGCCATGAAGACAGTGAACTCATTTTAGATTTCTTCCAAGTTCCCAACTCCATCACCCCTTAACTGGAGCTATACCTATATCGTATACTGCCCCTACCCCCAAGTAATTTTATTCATTTGGAACAAATATTTGTTTTCTAATTATTCAATTTCATATTAGAACTCACGATTTGATTACTTTCATTTTAATAAATAATGAAATCATACTAATAATAAGTATGGTTTTTCCACCTCTACTCTCATATATTTGTTGGGTCTTGCTGATTTCTAGTATTTTTTGTTTATTTCCTTATTTTGGAAAATAAAAACTGAGGTTCCAAATTGGTTGCTGCTGATGACCAAAGACTGTTTGTAGCAATTAATGGTCTAACAAATGGAATACAATTTTACAAATTCTTGCTTAAACAAGAAAATCTTCTTGTTGCAGACCAACCCAGCCATAATATGATATGTGAATTGTGAACGCGACACAAAAATTAAGTAGGCAGCACAATATTAATTTTAAAGTTGAAATCAAGATTATTCGAGACATTACACCAAGAAAGTCCAAAAACTTAATTTCTTAATCGCAAACTTTAACCAACACAATGAGGCTACAGTTCATAATCTCTTATCTTAATAGCTCACGGCACATGATTATTACGTGTATAAATGAACACCACATTAGCTGTTTTGATATTTACCCCGAGAACATGCTCACACCTTTCTACTCAAACACAATCGTAACACAAAGGAAAATCGACAAACCAAAAAGGGTTTGCATGACATTTACATGAATACAATACCACACTGAATCAATGATATGATAGATGCTTCTATAACCTGTCTCCTTTATCACTTGCCCGTGGCACCTTAGTTATAATGGCCGTGAGAAGATCGAAGTATAGTGGAAATTGTGCCACAGCATAGAAAGTCACAGGAAAACAAGTGGCTGCATAAATGGGGTACAGGACCATCTTGTATCTGTGACTAAGCAGAAAAAAATGGCCAGTGCAAAAAGACACAAACATTGCACCAATGGATACGAAAAGAGAACTCAAGCCAAGAAGAAGTTTGAGTGGCAAATCTCTGCGAAAATCTTTGGCTTGCTTTCGAGATGTGAGTATGGTAAGGAACATTATGAGTCCAGTGACAGAGAAGCAAAGTCCAACAAGAGAAGCAATAGCAAATACATCGAATGCAGGCTTGCCCTCTAAGTTAGGCCTACCTTCTTCGTTGGTTCCACCAGGGACACTACTAGCTGTAGCAAAGGAAACACCAGCAACTAGTGCAGCCACCACAGAACATGATTCAGATGTATCCTTAAGCCAATCACCACTTTCCTTTATAAGTTCTTTATGTGTTTCCTCGAAGATTTCCCCTGCGGTTTTGGCCTCTTTGTCGCTTCTAAACAAAAAATGTTGTGGCACAAGGCTTTTAATATACTGTTCCAAGGTAAAATAATAGCATCAACATTAGTATAAATGTAACAACACTTTATGTTAAACAATAAGATAATTAATTACATGTGTTTGTGGATTGATACCTGAAACCACTTAATATCCCACATCATTTGCAAGGCAGAACCAGCTATCTGCCAAGGCTTATCCCCACCTGGAGCATATGCTGCTAAGTGCAACATGGTGTTCTCATCCTCATCTACTGCTAGAATTAAGTTATTCCACACTTCTGGTTTTGACTGCATTTTCATTCTCAAACACTCAACAACAAGAGGTTGTCTGCTCACCACTGCCACAAGCAACACGTTTTCTTTCTTTGAGTTGGTGTTATGGATGACACTTGGAATTCGATGTAAAATTTCATTCACCATTTCAACTATGCCATTTCTTGCAGCAACTAAAAATGGTGTCTCCTTGCCATTTTGATCAGTTTCATTCTTAATTGTGTCACTTCGGGTAAAGGTTCGTGTATTATCATCCGCCTCTGGTTCTCTTTCTTCTTCCAACCACCCCAATTCACTGGTTTCACCTGTCAAACAAGGAAAGAGGTGAATGTTCCTCTTCTTCGTATACATTGAACATGCACACATAACAAACAAAATTGAGGTTATATAGAAAGGAGAAATATGACTATTGAAGTTGTGTCTCTTCTCTTTTCATAAAAATTAAATAGGTAGAAGCATATCGAAGTTTTTATACATTATAAAAGAGCGAGACAAATCACAAAATTTTGACATAAATACGAAGATACATTTTGCGTCATATTTACAAACCTTGTTTCCATTGACTATAAACATTATACATATCTGCTTCAACTTCCATATCGGTTGGTACACCTCCACTTCCGGTGAATGCTGCATAAGGTCTTTTCATTAGTGCCCTCAAGAGTTGACCACTCCATTGATGCCTCTTCTTTGTTTTCTTTACTTCCTTTAATTCTTATAAAGCAGGTGCAATGAAATCGGAGCAATCGTGTTAACTAAACCATTTTGTCAAAGACCAACATTTCTCAAGTAGCTAGCAATAGATAAAGAGACATGGAGAATACATACCCACTCCTGAAAGGCCAAGAGTATGTACATATGCAGTCCTCACAAATTGTTGAAATGTTTCATAATTTGGTGGCAAAAATCCAACCTGACGAGTTCCAAATGCAAATCTACTCTGTTTATTCATTGGTGGGTTTTCTGTGTCAACCTGATTCTTTTCCACGGGCAGTTTGCCTGACCAAAACAAAGATGTGAAAGAAATAGATTGAGTTTTGAGAAACTAGTCCCTAAAAAAACATGAAAAAAAAAAAAAAAAACACTACAAGTTCAAAATAATATCCATTACTCTAATTGTTGTCCTCTCCAACATTCTCCCAACAATTCAAAATCTACAACAATCATAATATAATTACAAGCCACGAGATCTAAGGGCAGGCATAGCGAAACTAGGATGGCAACCCAATTTTTATTTTTTAAAAAAGTATACTTTTACTTTTAAAAATATTTTTTACATCACTTTTTTTTTCTAACAAGATCACTAATCTTTTCATACTACATGCCCTTATCAGTTATCACAAACTCATCTACCTTTGTCTATGCACAGTCTTATGTGTCTAGTAAGAGAAATGCATGAGTTTAAAGGAATCAAATGACATACTTTTATTCGTTTGATTAGAAGGGAATATTATAATCATGACAACGTGAATCGAGTATAAGTTTTTGCGACTCTATCTCAACTCTCTCTCATTAGATTTATTCCGGTGATTAGATATATTTTTATTTGAATTAGAGTAAGTAATTTTTTTGGTTCAGGGATATGATTACAGTAGTATTCCAAAATTAACAATTAAGAATTAATTTACATTCAGATGACACTATTTTTACTAATTAAACATTATTTTAATACAAACAAAAATTGAATCTAAGAGTATTATGTCAACCTCCATGTCTTAAGATAGAACTTACAACCACTAGTATAATTTGTGGAGCACTTATATTTATGAAATATTCAATTTTGATTTTCTATTAATACAAAATATAAAGGATTCTAGTAAGATAGTAAAGATAAAAATGAAAAAAAAAATTTAAAATACATCTTTGTATTGTGAATAATTATTTTGATCTTTTATCTTATTAAAGATTTGTTTTTCTCCATTAACTTTTAAATTTGAGTTAATTTTGTCTATTTAAAACAATAATTATTTTTTATTTTAAGGTATAATTTTGAATTATTTTTAACTAATTTAAGATGTAAAATCTTGTCTCATTATATTTGTTTACACAAAAATTAATCTTCGAACTAAAAATTATCATAAATTGAAAAATCTTATATGAGTTGATTATTTTTGTCATCCTGAATTATTTAAATTGTTGTTATTAGTATAGCTAAATTAATGGTTTTATGTTGATGTATTGAATTAGTTAAAAGAAATTTATACCGAGGATGAAAAGGAGGTTTGGCGTATGAAAAAAGGGTCTTTCGGTCAAGTTGAATTGTTGTCCCTTTTGCAGAAGCAATATGCATGCATATTAAGTATTAATAAAGAAAAGAATAAAGTGATAAAAAAAAGAAGACTGGGGGGATAGCATGAGCAGGCGTTGACGTACCAAATAGAGCAGCAACACTTGACGATCCAGTAAAGAAGTCACATAATGTGGCATAGTTCTTTGGATAATTCACTTTATCCGATTTTGGTTGCTTCTCCATCTTGGCCAAATTCGCCTTCATCTGTTTTTCAGCATCCAGTGGTTCTACAAGTATACCTTTGAGGTTTGATAGATCGATACAATTAGTTTTTACCTGCCTATAGCTATTGATACATCTATACACTATGTATATATACTACATATTATTACTTACAGTGATACAGTATTCGCTTCCACCATGAAAGCTTGCTAGCACTTTTGAAAGCCGAGGGCCGAGTGGCAAGCACTTTGAGAGGAGTGAATCCTTCTTTATTCTTATGAGTACTCAGGAAGTCATAATAATGCACTATGATGACAGCCAAATCTGCAAAATATATGTTACTTGATATGAATGAAAATGTAGGTAGCATCAATAGCAGTAGCAGTAGCAGGAAATGAATATATATATATATATATATACCGAAATATTCTCTCCTGATAGCACAGTGGAGAATGGTATCGCCATTGTCTCGGACGAGATCTTGCAAGGGTGCGGTGTGGGTGGAAACGTGAGAGAGATAGGCAAAGGCCTGCTTCTTCCAGTTGATAGCAGCAAGAAAGAGAGGGGTCTCCCCGTGTTTGTTTTTCCGACTGGCCAAATACACCCTCTCATTGTTCATTCCTATGATCCAATTGCATATCTTGGCGAACCCCCTCGACGCCGCAACGTGCAGAGGAGTGTCCCCGCGATCGTTCCCCACTTCCAGAGCCTTGATCCTCACGCTGTGTTGCTGCAGCTGCACCGTGATGATCGCATTCACCAGCTCTTGAACCACTCCCTCCTCGTCCAAATCCACTGCCACGTGGAGCGCAGTGCCCACGCCCTCGTTGATTATTGCGCTGTGAGCTTCTGGCCTTGTGTAGTACATTTCCTTCACCTTCTCCCATTTTCCCTCCAATGTGTACTCCGCCAGATACTCCGTTACTTTTTCCTCTGATCCTATCTTCTCCTCCATGTTTCCAGGCTTCATACTATAACTCATGCACTCCCATGCATCTTATATACTTACCCATGCTTCAACTTCACCTCCTATATCTCACTTTTCTACCTCTCACGGGAAGAATAATTTTACTTACTCTCCATGCTACCTACCTCTTTTCCATCCATATCAAAACTCAAAACTATATATATAAATATTCAACCTTCTTCTATATCATTTTTATCCCAACGCTATTTTTCTCTTTCTTTCCACCCTCACCAAAGAAGAACAAAACCTTACTTGTTTCAATTCGCTAGCTATATATCATGTCGGCCAAAAGTACAATTTTCGTTATCTTCTTCCTTTTTCCGATCGGTTCATTCGTAGCTGTCATCACCTTTATTTTTTTATTTCGCCTTTTCACTGTAACTGAACAAGTTTAGGGAAAAGCGGATAAACATGATATGTTCTGCAACATTGAGATGGATTAGACTAATAGTTAACTAATGGTGTCTTTGGAATTTTGTCAGGAATTTCCAAAAGTTATGATAAGATAAAGAATAAATAAATGGCGTATATGTAGGTGGAAAAGAGAGAAATGGAGTGTATCATTAAAAAAAATGACTAATTTACAACTTAAAATGCGTTGATGGAGAAAAAAAATATATAGAAAAAGAAAGAAAAATAATAAATATGATAAATGATATATAAAAAAAATGAATAATAAGGTGAAAACATAATAGAAGAACAATAAAATTTATTTACAAAGTAGCTAAGATTAAGAAAAATATTAATGATATTCTCTCTTAACACTTGTTAATATTCTCTATACTATTTTTTCAAAATTATAAATTTTGATGAGTTTTTACAAATAAATCATAAGAGAAAGTCATTGAATGACATGTAAAACTCGGAAAAATTATGATTTTCAACAAATTTCAATAAAAAAAATATAAAAAAAATGTTAGAAATTAAGTATTAAAGATAATGCTGCTGATATTTTTATTAAATTGTATATTTAGAGATCTAATTATAAATATCTTACAAAAATCAATAATCTAATTAAAAATTCAAATATTTTAAAGACGTACCGATTAATTTAACCCTAGTTCTAATTGTTATAGCACAAGATTTAGTTTATGCTTAACTATCATATATCGAAGCCTTTATATATCGTCGTGTTTCAAGTGGTATCTATGTATCTCACTGCTTTCTCATAAGGCACGCTAAATTAAAGCAATAGCCTTTCTTCTTTTTGTAGTATTGTAGTTGAAGAAATAAAAAAGAAATATTATTTTATAAACTTGTTTTTTTTGTCTATTTTCACCTTTTTTTCTCTCTTTTGTTTGTCATTAGTATGAGTATTTTATCTTAATTTTGTTTCATTATTCTCTAATATTGAATTTTATTTATAAAAATTATTTTAAAATGTGATCATTTTAAGGCTTGGAGAATATAGTGACCCAAGTTTAGTTGTTTGCAAACTTAATTGATCGGATTTTATAATACAATAGTAGGATTGATGGAGTCATGGAGAGAGAAAAAAAACTGTAATCGTAGGATTAATTAAATAACATCCCCTTAAAATTGATTCTCCAAGCCTTTTTGTACAGGAAATATAAAATCAACCGGCCTCTTCTTTTGATTTTATATTATGCTTTATTCTATCTTTTGATTCTTATGTTATTTGTGGACAACATAAGAGTTAATATTGAGATCAATACCCAAAAGTTTAATTTTCGAAAAAAATATAATTAGTATTTTTTACCTTTTCCATTTATTATTTTTCTTGTTGTCAAAATGAAATTAGTACATTTTTATAATATAATTATTAATATTAATTGACTGTTATTTTATTGTATAGTTTTTCATTTGTTTGTTAAATGGTTAAATAATCAATAAAAAGTCACTTTTTTATGACTTGGTCTCCCCAGCCATTCGAGATTATTATACTACAAAGCGATTCTTTCTTTTTTTCAAATCTCACGCGCTGTTAAATTTGATTCTTTGAATAAACTTATAGGTTTTACATATCTTTCATCATGACAATGATTAACTTTTTGTGATAGTAATTATTACAAATTAGATCATAACATACACATGTTTGTCCTTAGTTGGACTAGCTTTTTACCGTAAGCATTTTTTTTCTCCCATTGTTCATTTTGTCAATTAAACTTTGAGTTTTTAATTTTAAATACATAATAATTCGGTCAGAAATACATAATGCAATTGAAGGAAGAATTTTGTATCAGAGTTGTTGAAATGGTAAGAACTTTATGATACAATTGAGATTTTAGTGGATTCGCACCAAACAAATGTTTAGTTTTTCTTACGCCTACATAAAAATACTTATAAATTATCGATTGTAGCAATAAGTTGATCACAGAACCATAAAAACAAGTTAAAACATAAGAAGTTGTTATCAATAAAAAAAAATTGTCTCTAAAAATATATTTTGGATTCAAAAGTAGATTACATATTAAAAAATGTATTAGCATTTTATAATATTCGTCATGGAGATAGTATTTTTAATTAAATAAATAAATTATTTAGAATTTTTAAAATATTTTTCTCATCTCAAATTAATCAAACTAAAAATTAAATATATTTTATTTAAGAAGTGTATATAATTTTTTTTAATGAAAACTAGAATTAAAAAAAATATTTGATTTTTTTTGTTCGATAGGAATGATTTTCTGTTATTACATATTTCTATGTATAATGGAGAATCGGAGTCACGTAGTTCTTTAATAGAAAATATTTGTGTATTGAATTTTTTAATTAAATCTTACATTTTATTAAATTTAAAAATTTATTAACTGTCACAACTCATACGTTCTAATATAAAATTGACAATGATGTACATCAAAGTCAATTCATTATAATATTTAAAAAAAAATTATAGAAGAATTATAGAAATTAATCCAAAAAAAAAAGTCGAGTATATCAAACTGTCACAACTTGTATTTTCAAAATTTTGAAAAGTTAAAAAATGACACATTTATTTAACTCTCTTTTTCATGTTGATAAATTTATTTATTTAATTATTATTTTTACTGGTGCTAACTTTTAGATATCCAATTACTGAAAAAAGAATTGTGTTTGAAGACATGAAGTTTCCTCCTTATATAAGTGAAGAAAAAAATGCATGACATTATTGTATGAAATGTGAGATCTTTTGGTTGAGAAAAAAGTAATGTAAGACTTGAATTTTTTTTTTAATAACAAATATGTTACTATGCAATTGATTTTCATTAATATAGAGATAGATTTTGATTTTCATACTAGAGATAATAATTATAGATCTATTCTCTAGATCTATTCTTAAACAAATTAATAACTATAACAAAAGACATAATGTTGCAAAGAACATAAAAATTTCAAATTTTTTTCTCTTTTTTAAAGTTGTTTACTTAGACAATAATGTACATATATTTCACTTGTTGTTTTATCTATTTTAATTATATTTTAATTTTTAATTTTCTTTCTTTTAACTCTCTTATTATTATTATTTTTACTTTCAGATTTTAATATTTTTGTGACGAAATTAGATTACTACATCCATCCCGAAAGAAAAAAAAAACAGTGTGTCCTACGTAAATATATATAAGACGAGACAAAAGCAAAAGGCACAGATTTTCATGATCAAGAAAATTAGTGGAAAAATAGTAGCCATTCATGCATCAGGACCAAAAGAAACAAAAGCAGAAGTTATTGGTGTGAATATTTTGTTTCATGTGTTTCACAACCCAAATATGTACACTAACCAGTTGTAAACCTATTTTTTGTTTCCATTCAAATTAATGAGTGCAAAAACTTTCAAAATATAGCCTCTGGCTAATTAAACTAAACAACAAAGGCAACGAGTGTCACGTTTGTTGAATGAAATAAATTAACAGCATATAAATCATAAGTCAGTTAAATTTTATGTTTTAAATTTTCGTTAGTAATTTTTTTAAAAAAAATTCAAAAAATGACGATTCTTATTTTAGAAAATTTATATCGCATAGCAATACTTAGTATGAATTATAAGACAGTAAACATGCACTAGTGTAAACTAACATACAAAGACAATTTTAATTTTAACTTGATGTGAAATTTTGTTTCTTTCTTATTAGTGTTATTTTTTTTTACTAAATTATACTTTTGATTTTTATCTTATTTTTCATATTCATTTTGGTCTTTTATTTATTATTAAAATATTTATTTTGATCATTTATCTTTTTATATTTGAAACAATTTGGTCATTTAAAAATAATAATCATTTTTAATTTTACATGATTTTGAAACAATTTTTAACTTATTCAAAGTATAAAAACTTATAACATTATATTCATCAATGTAAAAAGTATAAAATGTCATTAACATCCAAATCTAGAAGGGTCATAACCATAGTGAAAAATTAATTATATTTCAAAATTGTAAAGAAAAAAATACATTAATAATATATTTTATTCAGTTACTAACGTGTCAAAAGAAAATAAATTAAAACACAGCACAATTTAAAAAAAATTGACACCAAATAAAAATAAATATTAATACAGAGTGGTTTAGTTATAATTAAAATAAACAGTATATAAAAATTTAAGTCGTTATTTTTTAGTTTACAATATTATATCATTTATATACTAGTAGTAAATATGAGAGTATTTTTTGTTTCTCAGATGGTTAAGTTAATACTAGTATAATATTTTTTTATATATATTTAAAAGATTCATTAGTGTGTGTTCGAAAAAATGTTGCATTCAACATAATTCACGTTTTTTTTTAATTCATGAATATAATTATTTAGTTATTTGGAGCATTCGAATATGTGAAAGTTGATTTTGAAGTATCTAAACATGAAATCAAATATGTTGTAGTGATCTTGTACTTGCTAGCAAAGCATGAGATGAGAAGTTTAAATAATTAAATTCCATATTAAACATTTTTTCAATTTTCAAATATTGTTTTGAATAATTGAAATTAGAAATATTAAAGTTATCCATTGAATAAATTATAGGAATATAAACACACTTGAGCAAAAAAAAAAAAAAATTGTCGCTAGTTTATTTCTACACTACCTTTCATATATAAATATACTATTTTATTCATTTAATTTTTCTTTTCTTTAATTAAGTCCTTTATTTCTAAATTGAATCATATTGGTCCCTCCATTAATTTTTGTTTACTAGATGCTTTGGAATTTTCATCTTTTATTCAAAATTTTAATAAATAAAAACAATTAAATTATTTTAAACTTCCATCCAGCTTTACAAATTTTGTAACACTGTAAATTGTAATAGTGCTATAACTATTCATAACTATTTTATGTTGTTAAATTGAGTTGTTAATCAGTTTTGAGAAACTCTAGGGCCTGAGAATCCCTTAGGAGTTTCAGTGGTATTAGGGAGGGAATTTTTTTAGTTAGAGATCTAGTTTAACCCCGAAAGCAATAATATATAAGGTTTATGTTTTGAACAAAGTCTCAAAAACTCTTTTCCCTTTAAAGTTTAAAGAGAAGATTCTAGTGAGATAAGTTATGGTTTGTAGCTTCTTTCTCCTCTGAATCTTCCCTTTCAATGAGATTCTTCTTCTCATTAATTGATTATGATTCATTATGTTGTGATTCAAGTAGTGAAAACCTTGAATCAAGTCAATGATCTTGTGTGAGGTTTTGTTTCTTTCTTCTCCCTTGATTCCTAGCTATTCGAGGTAAGGAAAACTAGATTCATGTTTTCCTTGTTGTATATTAGAGTTGTTGGGTGATTTTGGTGCTAAACATTGTTCGGATTTCAAACTACTATGGCTGAGTTGATTGAAATGGTGAAGTGACGTGTGAAGGTTAGGGGTTGAGATCATGAAGAAGAATATGATGATTTGCTTTATATTGTTATTGCATATCGTTTGTGTTGAGTAGAGACATTATTTCTTGTTGCTTGTGTTGAATTTTAGGTTTTGGCTCAAAATTGGGTTCTTTATATGTAGAATTTTGATGTCACGTCGGGCGCACTTTTATGACGCCAGGTATTGTTTTAACATGAGACTCTTTGTCTTGAGAAGAAAGACTTGTCTCGGGTTGGCATGACATTGAGCGTGGTTTGAATGGAACTATGCACGAGAACTTTGGGAGATCTTTGACTTGGTGACATTAAACTCAAAGTTGACTAGTGCCTAACGTGGCCAAGACTAAAGCTCTCTGCCTAAATTTTGTCGGTCACTAATTTGGCGACTCTAGGCATGAGTCAGAAAGAGACTCTCTACTAATATGAGGCTAGGCGTGGTAGTTTACCATGTCAGGCATGAGGTCTTAAGGACCTTTATCTTAGCTACCCCTAGCATGGGTTGTGTAACGTCGGGTGTGGGTAAGGTAGAGAGTTCCTTACTTGGATGGCGTTGATTGTCAAGTGTATAGCGCTGAGCGCTGGTTGCTTAAGAAAATCATGATGATGTAGTTGATGAAGTGTTGAATACTTGATGAATTAGTTATTAAATGAATAAATGATGAATAAGCTACATAGATGAAGTGTATGTGTTGTTTGATTTGACGAATTGTTGCATATTGTTGATTGAGTTGTTAGTTGAAAGTTAAGAAAAATAGTAGGTTGTGTAGTTGTGTTGGGGTTTTTATACACATGATGTTGATGTGATATTGAGATGTATGATGAATAAGAAGTTGAATATGAGTAGTGATGATTGAGTTGAGAGATGGAGAGTTATATATTGATTTCGTTATTATGTTGAACATGTCAAAATTTGTTGTGTTGTTGAGGTGTGCTAAACACTTAGGACTAGAGGACAGATTTTCAAAAGTTGCATATTCCATCGTGTGGAAATTGTGTTGTGGTGCTCTAAAAATCCAATTTATTGAAAACCCTTCTTAGAAAGTTGACCTTTGTTGTGGATAACTATGTTGATTTTCCTCTAGGACTTTGTTGATACTATGTGTGTGTGTAAGATCGAGACACATGTGTCTGAAGCGACCAAAATACAGGGGTCATGTTGAACTATACTGATTAAAAGTGACCAATTGAGTAAAGTATGAAGTCAAAAACTTAATTCCTAACCGAGTATCGGAAGGGCATAGTATTTAGAAGGGAGTCAGTGAGCTAATCCTATAAAAGGCTTAGTTAAGCTAACTAATATCGTGGTAGGCATATATCCAACTGTTCTACCTTAACAATAATACTAAACTATGTTGTTTAAGTGGTAACATCTAAAAAATTGAGTTGTTATGTTGTGAATTTATATCCAATTTTTTATTAATTTAACAAACTCAAAAAGATCAGTCTGTGTTGTCGACTTTGTAGGATCAAGGCACTTAAATTGCTCATCCTATGATGTAGGAGATCTCCTCGCTAAAATGCGTGACGACACATATAATTATTATATTGAAAAATATTGTGTTATTGTGAAGATTAAACTGTGTTGAGAATGTTATGATACTAAGTTGATATTATGTTGTTATAAACTAAGTTATGTTGATATGTGTTATATATTGTGATGCTTATGTTATTAGTGTTGTAGAAGAGATGTTGATGTGATGATGTAATTAGCGTTGTTGATTTTTATGTTAAATATACATTGTTCCTTTTACTTTATCTTACCATTATGTGTTTTCATGTAATTTAGATTGCAATGATCATATGTGGTATGAAAGTAAGGCAGAGATAGGTTTGGAGTGTCGTAGTGGAAGCCACTCAATGATACAGGAGTTAGATGTCATTTTGATGACTACCTATTGGTGGTAGATTTGTATAATTAGTTGTAGTTACTTGATTGACAATTTAATTGTATATTTACATTTATAGGATTACTGTATATATATTGCACATATTTATATAGTTATTTTTGTCTTATATGTATACAATATAATATATATTCTAATATTTGTGAGTATATAATCTTAAGTTAGTTATTTTTAACTTTCGTAGTTATGTTATTTAATATAGTGACGAAAGTTACAAAATCCACCAACTAAGATATAAATTTTCACCCAAAGAATTTTAGAATTTTATTTTTCAAATCTTAATTTTAATTTTATTAAATTTTCACTTCTAAAATTTTAAAATTATTTCATATATAAACCCTATTTTTTGGGATGGAAAGTTGGGACTTTTAAGTATAGTAAAAGAAATTACGAGACCAATTTTATTTTACTTTTAAAATAGAAGGACTTACTGATTATAGAAAAAAATAATGACAAACTGAAATACACGCAATTCAAATTAAAAGGGTAATTGAATCGATACAAATATATATATATATATATATAAAAGAGAAAAATATTCTAATAACTTTTTTTTTTCATTTTTATTTTACTTTTATCCTCAATTCATACAAATCCTCTCTCTCACTATTTTGTTTT